ACCAAAAGAAAAACAAAAAAAAATAAAAGCAATCAAAGGCCGCGAGACCCCGACCGGGCCAAAGTGAATGAATGATGCGGAGCAGAACGGATCGAAAAGCCGAAGAAGAGGGCCAACGGGCCAACAGGCCAACGGCTAAAGCAAATAAGCCCAAAAAGCATTCCATATTCGATTGCCTCCAAAAACCTTTCGAACTTTAACAGCGGATTTAAGCTACGAAAATTGCGTGAAGCGGCGCATTATGGTTATTACTTCGATGTCGAATCGACGAATGGCCCAATGGACGATGTCGATGAGGCTTTAGATCCCAGGGGTTAGGGGCCAGGGGTTAGCCAGCGTCTCTGGTTACGGAGAGCGCTTTGTTTGCTCATCGCTCGGCGCTCCACCTTTGATGGCAGCGCCATGCCAGCCCAGAGAAGAGAAGAGAAGAGAAGAGCTGACCTTGTTTAAACATCAAAAACCATATTATTGCCATGCCGACGCCTTCAGCTTGAAGCTTAGTTTGCTTTACTCTGCCAAGAGGGTGTTGCGATTTGCTCAGGCAATTTGTCTGTGCAGAAAATCTATTTTGTATCAAGTCTATATATACTTTGATTTATTTTATAATCTTTATCTCGACACACTATGATCAGTTTATGTATCTAATCAATTATTAATCTTAAAATCTGGCGTGAGAGACCCCAAAAAAAGGCGAAGCGAAACTGAAGACAAGAAGAGCCTAGTTCATCGATCTCACATCAGAGATAAAACTGCTTTATAAATCGAAGTTAAAGGCATATGAAGTCAGGTTCAAGAAAAGAAAGAAAAATTAAAGTTTAGGAAAATCAGAGAACGCAGCTCAAGAAAACCAAAGAGGTAAACCTGGCTCAAAAATGAGGCTCAAGAACCATGAAGTTTTGAAGACTTGAACCACGAAGTCATCAATGAAGCACTTTTTATTTGACTCACTTTTTTGATAAGCATATTGAATAGAAGATTTGTACTATATTTATACTATAAATATATAATATATATGTACCATATTTTTTTACACCACATCCAGAAAGAGCATTCAACTATATTTGAAAGTACTACAGCAGATGTTTATATATCTTGATGTTCCAAATATGTTATGCTGTATAGCATGTATATATCCCATTCCATATATATCACGGTTTGTAAGCACATTCACTCTTCGTTCATTTCCTTCCAATTCTCGCGCATCTTTTATTATTTGTTGTGTTTTATTTTTTTGGTTTGGCCGTTGAAAAATTGCAAAAGTTAAAAACCATTTCATTGCATTTACAGGGTTTCACTTGCCTCTCAGTTTTTCTTTTTTTCTGTTTTTTGCGGCAATTCGATTTGTGGCCGAGTTGCAGCAACGCGGCGTCGTCTGTGTGTTGCATTGTGTAATTTATATGCGGCACAGAGCAGCGCTGGCCAAATGAAGGCGTTGCATGGTGCCCGGACAACTACGTGACCTCCAATTCGAGCTCAGTTTCGGTTTCAGTTTCGGTTTTAGTTTTCATACGAGTCGAGTGTGCACATGTTGCTGCGACTCCAACTCCGACTCCGACTCCGACTGCGACTGCGACTCCGACTCTGACTGTGGCAATTGTTGGTGGTCGGCTTTGATGCGTGCCGCCGCCTTCTTCAACTTCAAGCCAAGAAAACCACACGCACCACTCACACACTCACACATTCACACACTCACAGCTGGTGTAACACTCAAAACTTATTCATATGCTAATTTCGCTCAGCATTCAGCAAAATATGAGGCGAGCAGCTCGACTTGCCGCACTTGTTGCTGTTGCTGTTGCTGTTGGTGTTGCTGTTGCATGAACAGCGCGCAGTCAATGAACATATATCCAATTAAAATTGTTCAGCATTGCGACAATATTGTGAGCATAGCAAGTTGAACTCTACGACTTCAGCTGGCAAATGAGCTAGAAGAAAATCGCCTTCCACTGGCTGCCTCTAGGAAATGAGCTGGACAAATTAGATTAATTAGTCAATAGAATTTTTTTTTATACGAGTATATATTTTTTATTTGCAATCTGTCTTGTACAAATTGGTGAAAAACTGTTCACTGTTTCGATTTATCAGGGAAAGGGATAGAGAGGGAGAGAGAAAGAGAATATTTGAATATGCAATTATTTGCTGATTATATTCTTAATTTTTAAATATTAAAAAATATTTTTAAAATATTTAAATAATAACAGATGTGATATTTTATAAATTAAAACATAAAACTAGCAGCTGGTATTTAAATTTTGTTGATATATCATTTAGTTTAGATTTTGCAGATGCCGAAAGTATTATTTTAGACTTTGGTTGAAATAGCCTGTGAGCCACTGTATATTAATAATGATTTCTATATGTAGATTGATATAATTGTGATATATGTAGATTAAGACATAGAGCATGTCAAACATACCTTCACTTTGATGAAAGAAGTTTCAGCAACGTGATTAGACCACACAAAAATCTCACTTGTCTGAGAACATTCAATTGAAGAGAGAAAAGCAGTTCATAAATGCAGCACAAAATATGAATAATATTTGATATTTACTATTTCACTCCAATCGACTCAATTACAGCCATATTCATCAACACTCAGCTGTGCCCAACTACCGACCCTTCAACATGATCTACTTTGATCTCTGATCTACCTGAGAGCCAAAAATTCATTAGCAATATGAATAAAATACAAATACAATAAAATTTTTGGGAAATTGTTCAAGAGCATTGTTTAGCCATGGGCTGGCAGCTAATTAAGTGTGGAATGTAACAGCAATCAGCTGGGTCTAGACAATGCTGCGGCCCCAGCAGCAACAACCGCACCCGCACCACCAACGTCACCATCATTGCTGCTGCTGCCTTGAGCGATTGTGGTGCGGTGGTCTCTGCTCACAGAAATGCTCAGACAAGCTCTGGCTCTTGATCTGACTTTTGTGCGACTATCGAAGCTATCAACGCGATTGTGCGTGGACCTGGAACCAAAAAAAAAAAAAAAAAAAAAAAAAAAAAACCGAGCGATGTGTGGTTGCTGCTGTGGCTGTGGTTGTAGTTGTGGCTGCGTGATTATCGTGGTCATTGTTACAGCAGCTTAAATGGGATCTCATGTTGATTGATTGTGCACACCTGTGTGCCGTGTGCTGCCAGCGCTGAGCTCGTTGCCTGAATTTGGGTTTTTAGTTGTTGTTGTTGTTTTGTTCAGATTTGGCTTTTTAGCTTTTTTCAGCTTTTGTTTTATTGTCTGTGATCCGCAGTTGCTGATGGCTTTAGACCCGGCCCAAATGTCGGGGTGAAAGCTGAGCTTTCATTTCGTTCATTGTTTGTTGTTGTTGCTGTTGTTGCTATTGTGGCTATTGTTGTTGCTGGATTATGCAATGTGAGACAATTATTTTGGCAAATGAAATCAAACAACAGCCACATTTGGGAGCTCGTTGCGCCTCGCTGCCAGTTTGATGGACAACTATTGTTGTTGCTGTTGCTGTTTGTTGCTGCCGGACATGTTGGCGCTGCTTGGGTGGCTCCAGTTGCTGCCCCCGCATGTGGCAAGCGTTGCGGCTATTGTCTGGTTCCGCTCGCCGCTTGCAATTTGTATGAATTTCAAATTGTTACTTGGCAGAAGCAGCCAAGCCAAGCCAGGCCGAAGAAGCAGAAGCAGAAGCCGCAGCAACAACAGCAACAGCAGCAGCAGCAGCGCTTGAATGAATAATTTCCGCAGTTGGTCGTCATCAGCGTCGTCTGCGTCTCCGTCATCGTCTACAAAGATTCTGCTGTACAGCTGTTGTTGCTGCGACTGCGACTGCGACTGCGGCAGCCGCTGCGGCTATTTATCGTTGGGTTCTCTGTGCGCCAAATGAAAATGAACACGTGCGTCCGGTTGCTGCCTCAGCTGCTGGCTTGGCTGCCTTGTCGTTCATACAGTATATACATACACACATGTGTATATATATATCACTTTGTATGTGCATGTGTAGCATATGCCTCGTGCATGTGTCCATCAAAGCACAACAACAATCGAGCAAGGCTGCACGCCCCAAAAGCAAAAATTTCACTTTATTGATGAGCGCTGCACTTGAATTATTGCTGTGTGGGTGAGCTGAATGATCAAATTTACACACAAACACACACACACACATGCACACATGCACACTTATATATGTATGTGTACTTATGACAAACTATTTGCAACGCCTGGCCGCACAACGAGGCGTATGCGCAATTTGCTATAAACAACAACAACTGCAACAACAACAGCAACAACATCTGGCCCGCCTGCTGCTCGGCTTGTTTGCCTTGTGCGTGGCCCGTCGTCTGACAGTGAATCGCTGAGCTCAGGGTTGTGGACAACTGCCTAAGAGCCCCTCCACTCGGCTGGGCTTGGGAACGTAAACAACGCACTGAGCAGCAGCCCAATCCAATCCAATTCAATCGGAAACGGAAACTCGAATAGCAACAGCAACAGCAGCAGACTCCAAGACAAACAAACACTAATCGCAGTTTATTGCACTCAAATTTCATTTAGTTTTATTGAGCTTCTCAGCAGCTCTCGTATTTCTTAGCTTTCCGATTGTTTACCTCCAAATATTGATGACTTTTTCCTTTAGATTTTGAGGCAAGGTCAACAATCATGCACTGGCTAAGGCTGGAGTTGAGTATTCATATATACATACATTCATATATACATACATTGATAGTCAATCTTCTTTCAAACACAACCAATATGCTCACTTTGCACCACTTGAGCGGGCATACATATAGGTTAAGTCCCACTCTCACAAGCCCAAGTTGAGCGCCAACCATAAGTCGAGTGCCTTTTCATTGCTCTTTCGTTTGTTGTTTGTTGTGGCAGCAGTCAACCAACTGTGCAATTTCAACTTGATAAACTTTAACAACAATAACAGCAACAACAACAACAACGCGTTTCATTCATTATTTGTGCAACAACTGCAAAATATATGTATGTATAGAGTCAGTCGTATACCCAACGCACTTGGCCGGCTGTGTCTGAGTTTCAGCAGCTGTAGGAAGTTGCTTTATACATATAAATATACAAACATATATCGGGTATATGCCCCATGATTCAGCTGTGTATGTGCCGTACATATAGTGTGTATGTATATGCATGATTATATGTGGGAGCTCCATGTCCAACCAGATTGGTGCCCAGCCAAGCTTGGCTTAAGCGAAATGACCCCAGGGAGTCAACCTTCAGGGGCAGCCCATGAAATCTCGCTATCCGAGTTTATTTAATAAGCACTGAAAGTTTTGCTCACTGGATTGGAAGAATTGTGCAAATTGATAAGTTAATTCCCAGGAAATTTTGATGTATGTTAAGAAACATACATAGAAAACTATATACGTATATACCTATATTCATAGCAAACTATATTTTATTGCTCTTAGTCGAACCAACAGAGGGGGAGAAACTGAAGAAAAGAACTTTACGATGGTATGAAACAGAAGAAAGAGGAGGCGAATTGCAAGAAATAGAATAGGATAAAGTGAACGAGATTAAGAGCGAGAGCGAGAGAGGGGTTGAAAGTGAAAGAATTGAGAAATCGAGGGAGATCAAGCTAGAGTGAAAATGGAGAGACAGAGACTGAAATCAGAGAAAAGAGAAAAAGAAGAGAGATAGATAGAGAGACGAGAGTGAATTGTGAGAGTAAGAGCTTCAGAGATATTTATAAGCTAACGAAGAGGAGAATTTCAAATCTGATGTAAAACTTGATTATTGGCACTAGGAGTCCGAAATAGAAATCTCAGAAGTCCACTGTTCCATTAAGCAATTTTACAAATTTCCATCTGTTTTTTATGCCTCTAAAAGCAAATCAGATTTGGTTGATTGCAACCAGTTGACACTTTCAGTTAATTAACAATTGCCCCGCAGACCCAGGGCCAGAGCCAGGCGGGCACTTTCAGAAATGTGCCTTCTAGCTATGCTAATGATCATTGACTCTACTCTGGCCTCTCGCACCCCTTTGGCTAGCCCCAAAAATATCGATTAGGCTTTTGGGGGCAGCAGCACATGTGGTTCAGCTGTTTGCAATTACGAGTCGAGTGGCAAAAGAACCAAATCAAAGGCATTGCACAATTGCGCAATAGCAAAGGGGGAAAATGGGGGCCTCGAGGATGAACAGCTGCATCAAATGTGTTTTCTTTCCCCCCTCTCTCTCTCTCTCTCACCCTCTCTCTCTCTGTCTCTGGTCTCTGTGTTCAGGTGCAGATGATCAACATTTGCCGGAACTGAGACACTTCCGCTCGCTCGCTTGCATCTGTGGCAGCAACAACCGAAACCCCTTCACTCAAAGCAAATGCGAAGCGCCAACTGAATTGACAAACAACACGTGTGTGTGTGCGTGTGTGTGTGTGGCAATATATGTAATGTTTATGCTGACGCTCGACCTGCCGTCTGCTCAGATCACCCAGCGACAGCAGACCCCACCTCAATTCCACTCTCTCTCTCTGCTCTCTATCTCTGTCTCTGTCTCGCTCACCTTTTAGGTCTGCTACTCCTTGGCCTCAGTTAGTCAGCCGCAAATTGCTTTCAATTATGTTTGCAGTCTGCTCCCGTTTTTATGGCTCGCTGGCTCGACGTGTCTCTGCTGCGGCTGTGGCATGTTCGTGTTGATGATCTGTGCGAGTGATCAACGTATTTAACTGCCAACTGCCAACTGGCAACTTGCAACTTGCAACTTGCAGCTTCAATTGTGACTCGCAGCTTCAACTGCGACTGCGTTCTCGACATCTTGTGCAAGTGGCGCAGCTCTGTTACCCTGTAAATGCTAAACCACAGATGACAGGCAGTGCCAGCGATGAAAAGTTGAAGGAAATTGACGCCGTCTCTAATCTACTCTAGAATTTGCCTGACTGCTTCCCAAGAGAGAGAGAGCGAGTGAGTAGAAGAGAGAGAGATAGCCCATATAGCTTTTGTAGCTACTTTCCCCCTCTCTATGCCTCTCTCTTTATTCCCGTATTCATCGTATAGGGTATCCAGCTCGTTCCCACTCTTCGTGAGCTTCCTTCCTACATCGTCTTATGACTTTGATTTTAATCATCAGTTTCAGCATTAAAATGTTCCATTATGCCCGCCGCCCAAGAACCGCAGCAAATTACTTGCGGAAGTGGGCATGTTTCCAAAGGCATACGAAGCGCCGTTGCAGAGCTGTAAACTAAGAGATTGCGATTGAGTTACTCAACGCATCATCGTCATCAACGCAGTCCAATTTGTGCTGCTCAAAAACAAACTCAAGTGAAAATTATGTCAAACCTGTTGAAAGATAAGACAGAGGAGTAAGAGAGAAGGAGAGAGAGAGAGAAGGAGAGAGAGAGAAGGAGAGGGTCAGATCTACATCTGTTGCTATCGCAGCATCAGCAGCAACACGGAATTGAGTAATTTGCTGCAAAAGACAATTAGATGCAACAGATTGTTGACTAAGTGACTGGAAACGTTTTCCCAGTTGCTGAGTTTTGTCGTTGTGGATCAGAGATCGGGTAGAACCGCCTTCGCCTCCGGCCGAGACTTGAGTTGGCTGCAACAGCTGGAGCTGCTGACAGGCTATGCGGCAGTTCAAATGAGTTCACAGTGACGCACACCAAAGTCTCCTCCCCATCGCATTTCATATTTGCCTCAGTCAATTATGCGCAAATTGCCAGCCAAGCCAAGCCAAAACAAACAGACCTTGGGCCACGTTAATGACACCGAATGGGGTCAGCTCTGACCTACGTCGAGCCGAAGCCACGCACGCGAGCCTCCATATGCATGTATGTGTGTATGTGTGCTGAAGGTAGATAAGTACATTCAACTGACCACGACAGATTTGCTGACAGCAATCCACAGCTGAGCATGCGGATCCATATGCCTCTCATCCGATTGTCATTCTCCTTGCCTCCCTCCTGCTCTCCCTCGTCTGGCAGGCGGCAATTAGTTTTTTTGCGGTTCTGTTCTGCTCTGCTCATCGTCTTCCTCTTCTCCTGCTTAGACCCTAGAGCTGCGCTGACAGCTGAGTGGATCAAATCGGAGCTGCGATTGTGGTGTAAACCAAGCAAAGCGAATTGATAACTTTATGTTTTCTCCTCAGATTCCTGCAGCTCATTTTAAAAGCAGTTAACGTCAAGCTGTGCTCAGCTGTGATCTTTATAAATAAAATTGTGTCAGCTGCAGAAAATTGGAGCTTTAAATGAAATATCATTTTGGCATAACTCTCAACTACTAATTGGTATTGCTAACAAATCCAAGTTTTTGCTTTCAATGATCTGTCATTTTTATGAGCTCATATGAATCCCAACTCTCAGCTAATATATCATATTCAGAGTGCCTTTTAAAATATTTATGTCAATTTCTCCATAAAAGATTCTCGACTTGATTATTAATATTAATTATTATTTACATTAAGTTTTTCAAGATTTATTTAATTTCTTGTGTATAAACATATTCATATACACACATATATGTTTAACGATCTTAGTCATTTGCTATCTGTGGCCTCCGTTAAATAGTTCAATTATAATTTCTAAGAAGCTTTTAATCTCTTTCAGTTGCCTCAACGTAATCAAGTTGTCTTATTATTTTCCTAAGCACCTTATATGCCGATCCTCAGTCTCTCCTCCTCTCCTTCCCTCCCCCCTCTCGCCTAACTACACTTGCACATCGAAATCCATGCTGTATAATTGGTTTGTCAGGCGAAGAGAGCAGAGTCAGACCGGCTCACAGCTGTGCCTAAACGTCCAACGTCCAAAGCTGCTAAGTGAATTAAAATAATGCTGCTCCGACTGCCAATGAACACGATCATGATCATGATAATGATCATGCTGCTGCTGCTGCTGCTGATGATGATGATGATGATGATGGCGGTTAGACAGCCCCAAACCGAGACCCTGACTTTAACTGTCTGGCTCTGACCGGCCGCTGCCTGGCTGGCTGGCTGGCTGGCTAGCTAGCCGACTGGCTGACTGGCTGATGATTCTATTTATTACATGGCCCGCAATTTGCGATTCCTCTTCGCGTTTTTGCTGTGCTGCGTTTTAATTATTTGGCTTGCCGTTAGTTTTAATAAAGTTGCTAACTGTGAAACGACGTGACTGGAAAATGCTCGGAAAATGAGTATTTCATTTACAGGGAAAGTGTCGGGCTATGTCTACAGCGAGTCAGACTGCCAGACAGCTAACCGATTAAAATCTCAGCGAATTCGCAGAAAATTCTTACACGCAAGCCAACAACGAAGACAGCTGAAAAGTTGCTGCGTTAACACCCATTTCCATTTGCAAGCTCCAAGTTACAAGCTCTACAGTCCCCAATCTCCAGTCTCTGGTCTTTCATGCGAATATTTTATCACGCGAGGCATTTTTGATAAGCATCTAGCTCAGCTGCTGCAGCAGAGCCCAAGCGGAGTTCGATTCAGATGCTCAGATCGTTGATCGCCCAGCGCTGATAGCGCAAACAACGCCCCAGCAGCAACAGCAACAACAACAAACAGCGCAAAGCTCATATACAGGTACAGGACATCGCAGTCCAGACAAAGCATTTGCCTTATCTACAACTGGGCATCTGTGCAAACGCTGAACGCATTCCGCAAATGGATATGGCAACAGCATCCAGGCGCACCCATCGCAGACAAATGCTGAGCTAGGTCGACTACCAAATGTCCTGCCAAGCGAAGGGCTTCGGAGTGAATCAATTATGAGGAGTTGCAGATTCTTAAAGTGCCGAACAAGTGGCCAAAAAACCCTTTCAAGTCTCCACAAACTGCAACGCCACTTGGAAAGGGTATCCGAAGTAGGCGTGGCTGTGTTAGGGCTACATGTGGTGGGCAAGTGTTTGCGCCAAGCGTTGATTGCGCTTATCGGTGGCGCGATCGATGCTCAGGCTGCAGCTGCAAGTGGCGTGAATTGCATGCGTAGCGGCTGCCTGCAGCTTCACGTTGCAGTCGCTGCAGTTGTTGTTGTTGTGTTGTTTTCCGTTGTACACTTGCGTGTTGCAGCAAAAAGTGCAAACAAGTGATGAATGTCCGTGTTATGCGATCTAATGATCTAGAAATGAAGTTAATAAATCGTTTAACCAGATGGCGCAGCGCCAGCTAGTTGATGCAACTATGCTGCACGCGTTCCCTCCTGCCCTCTGTCGGTGTCCACCTTCCACTTGCCACAAAGTGGAACACTTTGCGGATGCTTGCTTCATGGCCGGGCCACCGGGCCAACAACGAGAGCTAGGAGAGGCACGTAATTTGCATAACTACTGTGCTTATAACTCGGTACATAACAAATTACAACAATTTGATATTGCGCACATACCACAGAGAGATGGGTAGAGAGAAAACTAGAAATGCTTCTAGCTTAGCTGATATCCGTGGCATGCCACAGCGGTAGAGTGGCGAATGCTGGTAAACAAGGCCAAGAACCGAGCTACATGGCTAACAAGCGCATGCAAATTAAGACCCACTTTGTGCTTTGTATACATTTATTATTATTATTAGAGTAGTATTGTGGCTTAAATTACACAAGTGTGGCAATTAAATATGATGCACAAATGTTGACTTTATGCAATAATTAAATCTAGTATAAATATAAATAGGCAGTCGTTTAGTGGTTGTGTATGTGTGTATTAATGTGCATTCTACGTCTAAGCATTACCAATTAGATATTTAAACTGCAATGAAGAAGAGAAACACGTGATTAGCAACTGTTTTGAGTATACTTTAATTAATATTCAAACTTACCTAGTAAATATTTTAGATGTCAACCAATCAAAGAATCCGAAGCACAAAATAGCTGCAAGAGAGAAAATAAAAATGTATTTTAGTAGGGCGTAGGTCTACTGATAAATCATATTTATTTGAGCTTTGAACTCAGTAATTAAGTTACAATCAAATCATTTCATTAGTCTAACATATGTAAAAAAACATCATCGTAGATTATTTGTTTGCTTTCTAGTTAATCCCTATTTAATTACCTTTTCAGCTATAGCAAATGTGTTCCAAGACTCCAATTGATATGAGGTTGAGTTGTTTATGAGACTGCAATAGAACAAGGAAAACTATTAATATTAATTGCACAGGTAACTTCATAGTAGTGTAATTATTTATCAGCATTTATAACATTACACTAATCAAGGCATTTCATAGGTGTCCCAAGGTAAAAGCTTAGCTCATCACAGAGCAATTTGCATAAGCTTCTATCGAGAAAACTCACCTTAAATATGAAAAGATGCAAGTGGGTGTCGTCTTAAGCATTCAAAATCAACTGCAAGTAAAAAATAATGAAAGTAATAAGTATATGCGTATTTACTGAGATTTAACAAAAGTTATATCCAGTTGTTAAACCCACATATAATATGTACACTCACCTATTTAGAACGCATAGCGTGTGCGTATGTCCTCGAGCTTCTTGCAGATTTGATTGGGCGTGCGGAACATGTCACCCGCGATACTCTTCTGCTTTACTGCATCAATAGATAAATACTGTTCGCAGAGATCACCGTCCAGCACGTTTTTCACAGGATAGTATGAGCTGCGGTAGCTGAGATGATCTCGACCACATAAGGGCGGGTTTTCGTTGCGCATGTGCATCTCCAAGTGCTGGAAGAAGTCGTAGTCCTCACGACTAGTGAACGGCACGAAAGCGCCCACGGTGCCGCTCAATGTGGCATAGATGAGCGCTTCGGAACCTCCGGGAATGAGAGTGGCCTTCTGTAGCGACATGATAATCTCTCCCACATGGAACGAGCAAATGTTCTCTGACTTTTGCGAGGCACCCGACAGCAATCCACGATCCCAGAGCGACTTCGTGCCAGTGGGATCTTCGTCCACATCATCGGTGACTGAATGCGGCAGGCGTTGAATGCTCAGATTGCCAAACTTATCAGCAATAGCAATGGTATCATAATCCAACAGAGTTGTAGCCGTCACCCAACGCGGATGGGTATCATCAGCGAATATGATGAGCTGATTCTCAGCGCGCCGATAGCGTATGAAGAATACAGACTCCTGAACATCAGAGACATAGACACGGTGGCCCATCGCTTGAATGTTGACAATCTGGTAGGGAATGTGTTTATTCTCGCACTTGCGCAGCATCTTCTTCTTGCCCAGATCATAGATGCGCAGCATGCGACCACAGCCTGCTAGTAGGCGACCCTGGAAACCACACAATGCGCCGGGTATCTCCTCGATCTCAGTACGATGTAGAAATTCCAGTGCTGAGCAGGTTGGATCAATTTTGTAGATATCGATGCATCCACCTTGCGAGATCCGCGGATTCAGCTGCAGATCCTTGGCAATGCCCACTGCCAAATAATAGCGACCATCAGCAGCAACAGAGAACTTAAGCATGGCCATAGACATGATAGCCTCGTTCTGTGTCAGTGGCACAGTGAACATCGTTTGGCCGTGCATGGCATCTAGGCAGCGTATTTGCGAAGCCCATAAGCCGAGTCCTGCCTTGGGTGCAGAGAACACATCCTCGGGCAGCACCTCATTGATGAAGGCATTGGCCATTTCTCTGGCCAGTTCGCGCTCCTCTTCGCCAGCAGCGCTACGCATTTCCTCAGCCATTTGCTCCTTACGCGCATTCTTCGTTTCCTCGGTGTACGCATTATGATCCGTTTCAGCAATCAACATGCGACCCGTATCCGGATGTATGACAAAGGCTCGCGGCGTGAATTGCAATGGAAAGGCCACTTGATTGAAAACGGCGCCCAGTTTCTCCAAAGCGAGGATACGCAGTGTGTTAGTCGATATAGCCACAATGCCCTCACTACACTGTTCGCTAGAGAAGCCTGAAGCATATTCTAGCGTCTCATACGACAGGGGTGTCAAATGGAAACGATTCTGGTGATAGTAGGACAACCAGGTGCGGCTAGACATGGCCAACACGGCTTCAGCGCCTTGCATCTTGATCCGGAACAGTTTCACCGGACGCGAACCCAAATAGCGTGTTCGGGTATCCGCCAAATCGCCAGATACAGGATCCAACACAGTGCGCAGTAGCACACCGTTACTTAATCCAATATTCAAATATATGGTGCCCTTATTGCTGCCGCTGCGTTGTGCCGGCACATCATCGTCTGCACCGGCATTTGTGGTACTCTCCGTATGACCCATTTCGACCAAACACAACGACTCGGCCGGCGAGGGTAGCGCCTGCATAGAGCACGGAGAGAGGCAATTATTGGGATCCAGAGAAAGTATGCGCACTGTGTTATCAGCCAGACCAACTGCTAAGAACCAAGATCGCTGCTCTCCCTCTGGCACCGTGCCCAGAGCCATGCACATGATCTCTGCAGGCATTTCCGACCGTTCCGTATACTCGTTCAGCTCACCAGTCTGTTTGTAAATTATTCCCAATTAGTAATCTGTATAAATCGGGGTTAGCATGCATGCATTGTCTAATGATTGCTCAGCACTGCAGGACACAAAGTGTCTCAACATGATTGTTCTTTTTCGTGTTTTTGTCATCAGAGCAATGTATCGAGAATATTGAAATATAGTCGTTTAGAAATAGGTATATATCGACTGTACTTAAATACTCTCTTCTGCTACATAGTCTATATTAAATGCTTACCGGATCCATTTCGAAGTAAACCAACTCGCGACCAGAGAGCGTAATGACCACCTGACGTTGATTGACAGCACATTTTGTGATGGATTTCTTGCCGGGCGCCTTCCACTCATTCACTCGCTTATCGGAGCGTATATGACGAATGCCATCTGGATAGACTTGGACCAGAGCATCGTCTCCCAGTGCAGCACAGCACAATGTTGGCGTAGTGCCTAGAAAACCACTGTCCGTCACTTCCTCGACGGTCTCGCCAATGCTCAGAACCAGTGTAGCATTCACGAAGGAGACAATGATATAGGCATCAAACTCGTCTAAAAGTAGGAGCACAACAAAAATAGTTTGATCGTCAGTATAATATTCTTTGGAAATATAACATTTTAAGGGTATTTGGTGACATTGAATAATCAGGTTATCAAGTTCTAATCAACGTAAAGTTCATTTGAAACACGGATGATAAGTAATCACATCATGTTCAATGTCAAGTCTTAATTATAATATTAAATAATCAAGGTTTGTAGCATTTGTTTTGTAGTATCTGTTGACTTAAGAGCTGCAGTAATGTTGCCTTACCTATCGCTTCACAAAAGACAAATATAAATTATAAGTATTATACACGAGTCTATTGGATAACTCGCATTTTATATCTGTTCAATAGTCACACAACAAACAGTAGACGTCTGTGTTTAAGCGCCTGAAATAAGAGAGAACTGGTGGTTGATAACTTGTGGCTTTTGGATCGTGTTTATATACAGGTAAATAGGCTAGGATTGTTGCTGTTTCTCAGTCTCGTGCATCAAATATCTGCCAATTTAATGGTTGCCACAAAATTGCAGCACTTTCATACATATTTAAGAATTGAAATCAACAATCGTAGCACAACCTGTACATATATAGCAATATTATTTGTTTATCTTGGGGTATCGTGTTCTGTATCATCAATGCACCAGTTGAGTTATTAGAAATATTTCATAGCTAGCAAACTTAAGGCCTAAACTTAATAGATAAGCGCAAACATCAAATGAAATCTTTGATTTCGACTCACCGTCAATGCGTTTCTTGACAGTCCACACGGCATTTGGATTACCGGGCAACTCGGAGACAGCCATCTCTGATACTTCAAGACCATGCCGCAGTACACGGAGTGTGGAGCGCGGTCCACGCCCACACAGCACATACAACTGTGGCGTATCCTCATTGGCCAAATCAGCCACTTGGGAGGTGATAATAGGTGCAAAGGAAGGCAACTCATCGACCAGAACGAGATTCTTTAATGCACGTGGAGCGAAGAAGAACGTTTCACCCTCTTCCAGTGGCATAGCAGAACTGAATTCGGGTTCATCATCATCATCGCCCAGATGTGCTATTTGGTACAAGTAACTATAAAAATAAAGAGAAAACGGGTTAGAACGCTCTGAAAATGTCTTCCTTTTCTGTTTTACTTACTGGTTGCCAAATTCACTGGCCACAAACAGAAAGCCAGTCTTCAGCACACACATCGCTGTCGCAGGGGGCACTGTATCAAAGTACTTTAGCTTGATTTCGGAAACCACATCGTCGTCGGTCTCAAGGGTTATCTTGAATATATCGCCCTGCTCTGTTTGTAGCAGAAAGAAGTACATGCTCTTGGTACGATGAGTTGCGGAGCATATAAAGATCATTCCCCGCTCAGGATCATCAAGATCATTGCGTCTACGAGGTATGGGACAACGTATATCATGCTGATCACCCAAATTCTTGTAGGTCAGATAGTTCTCAGAGCAAATAAGCACGCCAGAGGGTCCGTCATTGCCACCTGGCACAGAAACCAAGAAGTTTGCGTGTTCTTCGAGTGGTTCAGAGTACTTGCGAACAACATGATTGAGGCCCAAATCAAGTTCGTAAAATGTGAGCGTCTGTTGCGTCCGTTGAGCTGCATCCCCTACAAAATAATAAAAAGGAAAACAATGTTTAGTGCAAAGTTAGAAGAGGAATCAAAAAACAATGTAATTAAATTAAAAAGGATGTGGACCACAAATCAGTGAAGTGTAGCTAGGTAATTACAGCGGCACCAATGGTTCAGTGGTCATATTTATCTAGCGCTAAGTACATAACAATGTCAATGGTCTATTATCCATATGCACTGTGAATTAAAGCGCCAAAGAATAGAATGAAATTTAGATAAGATATATATTTACCTGATGGATCCAAGTCAGCTTCCTCGTAATCGATTTCCAGACAAGCAAACATGGGATTATCAAAGCCAACGTCCACGCCCACCATATGGTAGGTCAAGGTGTTGGACTTGTGTGCCTCCAGAGGTGAAGATATGGTTAGTCGTGCCTGGGTATCTCGGTTCATGATGTAGGCCAGCTTTTGTTTCTCAACAGCACCAATCATCACGGCACGGCCCTTGGGATCAATGGCAAAGTACTGTCCCGGCACAATGCGGCGGCAGCCCGATTTGCCGAAGGTCTCCTGATGTACTTTTTCCAAGGCATTCTTGCTGGGCATGTACTCCAAAATAACAATGCGTCCAGAATCTGATCCCACGACAATATAATCTATGAAAAGCCAAATAGATCTGATTTTATATTGGAAGCAATGAAACTGTACTTTTTTGAGGTTAGAAGTTCTTGTAACTCGAAGTTTCAGTTCGCCATGCCATGTGGTTAAGGGTCATAGCAAATGCGACGTCAAGTCAAATTACTATCGCACATAGACACGTTCACTAAGGTCAAACTGGGAACAACCAACAAAGTTGCCTCAATTGGGTTTTGTGCATAGATAAAATTATATTAAAAATCGTGATATTACAAATTATACCAACCTTTTGTGCCGCCTGTTAGACGGAAGGCCATTAGCGCACGTATGCAACCAAATATTTCCGTCGACATCAGCGTGTGAACTTTGCCCGTGTTAGGATCGGGTCGCAGCAGTTCCAGCGACTTGCCACGTGACAGCAGCACCTCCTGCTGTTTACCGCCTGAAAAATTTCCGTGCACGGCATGCGTGACGCCGGTACCCTTTTGGAGCGTCAAATTATACAAGTACATATTGAAGCAGAGCTATTTTCAGCCTACACAGTTGCACTGCAGAAAAAAAAATTTATGTTGAGGTTAGAAACGATCAACTTAACTTAGATGTACAATATTAAGATTTCAACGGTAATGTACTACTTTAATAATACCAAGGCCACAGTAACAAACGTCGTGTCGCCTAACGATGCTTAGTAAGTAGTATTTAATTTTTAATTTTGCACACTTCAAATGCGACCAAAGCACAGACATTTCTGATTTCTGGAGATACATTGTGCATAAATACCACTAAAATATTACCAAATTTAAGTAGATTACACCTTAGTTAATTACCTTTTGCTATTTTGTTCAATGAATTAACACATTTTAATAATGATGCGTTTGGATTAAATTTATTCACATCACTCAAGCGGCGTCATTTTCAGAGCTGCCGCTTGGCTTGACCGGTGAAGAAAAAGTGGATGGAAGAAAACGCGGGCGGTATTTGACAGCACTCACTCAGAGTTTCTTTCATTTCGATAACATTAATTTTCGATACATTTAGTAGCCCTAGTCGATCAGCTGGCCGATGACAATAATATTAAAATACGAATAGAAAAGTTTTTAAGCTCAGCAGGTGGCAATGGAAATGGATAATGCTCTATATGCAGAAGCCAATGAGAAAATCAGACTGGGCGAGGAACTCAAGAAATCTTTAGTCGAATTTCAGGACATTCCAGGAGTAGCAAAAGTGCAAAGGAAAATAGAACAGGAACTTAAATTCTTGGAAAAGGTCCGAGTGCTTGAATGAACTGAAACATTTATTTATAGCTAACCCATATTTAATTACAGGTTATACGCACAAAGACTTTAAAGGAGAATCACATTACAAGCAGTAACTTTGTTAACTATGAATTTCTCATAAAAACCTTGCGTCTGCAGCAAGGAGTCGTGGATATAAATGCTGTATTTACCCTTGAATCGCGCGAGAGTCCTCTACGTGTAGACATTGTTGCGAATAACGGCCTAAAATGGATAAAAGTAATTGCTCGGAACTCGAAATCTATCGAGGATGCTGCTAAAGGCTGCGTCAGTTTTGGTGCACGCAGCGTTTTGGATCAGGCAAGCGATTATCTGGAAGCCAGTGAACTGCACTTCTGCATGTTTCAACGCCCGAAGGTGATGATGATCCCTCTAACTACATTTATTTTATAATTATTTAGAGCGGTACTTTCTTTCAGATTGTCTTTTACTTCTCTAATAAAATAGACAGTTCGTTGCACGATGAGCTCAAGGAAATGGGAGTACAAACTGCCTCGTTGGAAGAGCCTGACTTGGATCTGGATCAGTATGCCACCTTGTCAAATGAATTAAACTTGGATGTGACTACCTTGCTGGCTTATGTGAGCGCTCTTTCGAATGGCGACTGCAATTACGTGTTCAAAGAGCCGCTTCTAACTGAACAGGCTGAAAAGGAACGCGAATCTCCGGTGAAACCAATACTCGACAAAATATTTAAAGACAAGCGCTTGGTATGTTGCCAATTGGCCAACGATGCATTTCAAAACATTCTCACTGTACTGGGCGGACCGGGTGAGCGTAAACGCGCTGAAGAATTTATGAAACGAGTAACAGTGTATCCGGATGTCGACACAATACCGCCGGAGTTTTCCAACATACGTTTTACTGCTAAAGTGAATGAGCGAAGCTTAAAGATATTTAGTTTTGGTATGGATCGTAAAATATTTACAGTTACATCAAATAAGGCGTTTGTTAGATCGGCTAAAATGCAGGTGAGTGTAATTTTTACCTTGATTAAATTCGATGTTCATAATATCTGTTTTATTTTCAGGGCATAAATGTTCCCGTTTTTGTTCATGCGTCACGTGCGCTTACTGAGGGTAAACAGGCGAACGCTGTGCCGCTCTAGAGTAATTAAATAGAAATTTTTAACTTATTACAACTTTGTACATAAAAAAGGTTAATTTTAAAATATTGTTATTTGACTCGATAGGCATTTTTCGATAATATGCTGTTAGCTATCGGTAGACCAGCTGTGATACAGAGTTGCCAAGCAGCTCACGTACTGCGCAGGTAAACAAGAGCAAAAAGAGAAAACATGGATTGTGCACCGCTAAATTTGGTAAATAAAAGAAATTCATCTCAAAACTGTCGTGTTTCATCCTTATCAATACGTACAGGCGCATTTCCACGAACGTCGCTCAGAACGCTTCATACGCCACCATCGTTATGAAGACGCCATAAAGGCCCTGGAGACTTCTCTAATCTACATACAAGATGCATACAAAAATGTTCAAATGGCAAAATCGAAAGAAGTGCTCGATACCTTAACGCTTGACTTTCAGCGCAAGCTTCGGCAAATCGAGATGCGTAAAACACAATATGGACTCACAAAGATGAAAGATTTCGTGCAGCTGAAGGAGACAAGTCCCATGCTGCCATTGCGGCCGGAGCAGGGAGTAGGGTCAGCCCAGTCTGTGGCCAAGGCCATCGACAAAACCGTACAGGACTTTGATGCCAAGTTCACCTCGACCATTGAACGAAAAGTGACGCCTTCGTTAGTGGAACTGAAAGTGGAGACCATGATCCAAAGCGACCCTCAATCAGAGAGTCAGGAGTTCCATAGCCTGTCCACACTTGACCGCAGCTCAGAGAATGAGATGCCTTCACTAACTCCATTAGAGTTACCCACATTTGATTACACCATGTTTACGAGCTCGTCAGCTCCGTCTCTGGCCAGCTACGTCGGCATGGCCGAGAGCAATCAAAAGTAACTTGTGATAATTAAAAATAAATAGTTTAGTTTGTATGCATATTTTACATATTCAGTTTTATTATTTAGCCAGCAATCCTTTCAACAAATCGTCCACATCTGTCTCAGTCTCCACGTCCTTTAGCAGAAGTAAAACCTGTGCCTCCATCTCGCAGAGTATTGGGGGTTTCTGGTAGGTTATGATGAGTGTGTTGAACTGATGATGAGCGCTTATATTGGCCTGGACAGGCGGTACGCCGCAACGATCCAGTTCAGGTACTTTTATAACTTTGTAATATTTCTTATTATTTGTGCGCACGATAATTGCGCGCTGCTCGGCATCTGCTTGAATATCGTACACATTTAGAGGGTAAGGTAGATTGCGTATGCGCCATTCAATGTTTTTCTTGGTAATACGTTTGGTTAGTAGTGGAGCAGTATTGCTCTCCCGCACAGTGAATTCTCCACCAGATATGTTGTCCGCATCACCACCGCCAGCTGTGTTTTGCTTATTGGCAGCAGCCCAATTCAGTTGGCGTGGCTCTTCGCCAAGCTCGATTTCCCATTCGGGTTCACCCATTAGCTGTTTGCATTTGCGCCAAGCTCGTCGTTGCACTACGCCCGTATCCATATTGTACTCCTCAGCCATTTGTTGACCGTCGGGGAACTTGTAGAGCACCTTGCGCAGCTTATTGCTGATCATTGAGTTTTTCTCAGCAGACTGCAAATAATTTAACCAATGTTGATACGACATTTTGTGAAAATAACAAACTCCAACTGAATTTGATCGATGGCGCAAAAGCACATTTTGTTTTTTTTTTTACCCTGGCAACCAGGGCTGTCAGTAGTCAGCTGCTTGGCATTTTGTTTACAAGCAAAATACATGACAGGGGCTGCCAACTTGTTTCGAATATTGTCAAAAATCTAGAAAGCGAAGTTGACGTGGCCGCCGATGAGGGCATACAAATACGCATATTTCACCATTTGCAGTTGTATTTTAATATCTATAGCTATTTAAAGTAAGCCAATTCACGGTACGTGTTTATAAATAGCTCCATAAAATAACACACAGTTTGTGTTTCGTACTAATTAGAAAAGTAATATTCTTAAATCTTTGCAGAGGAGAAAAGAAGCACAGCGAACACGTAAAATAAAATCTAGCAAACTTTTCACATTTTTTATTGGAAAAGTAGCAAAAATGAGTTTGGTGTGGACTTTGATCGCCGGTTTTCTGTATACAGAAATCGCAGTGGTTTTGCTGTTGGTTTTGCCCGGAATCAGCCCGTACAAATGGAATCGTTTCTTCAAATCCAAATTTCTAGCCATGTTGGCCCAACAAGCACATCTCTACTTTTTCCTAATAATGGGTGTGTTGGTGCTGTTCCTTCTGGAAGCTATACGCGAAATGCGAAAATATTCCAACACTGACAACAGCGGCGAGGTCCATCTTAACGTAGAAATGCAACACAGCATGAGATTATTCCGGGCCCAGCGAAACTTCTACATTTCCGGTTTTGCCATTTTCCTTGTTCTGGTCATACGGAAACTGGTCCAACTGATTTCGACACAGGCCAATTTGCTTGCGCAGAGCGAAGCTTCCATGAAACAGGCCCAGAGCGCTACAGCCGCTGCTCGCTCTCTGATGACAGAGAAGACCGACAAGGCAAAGGAAGCTACCGAAGACTCAACCCTGAATGAGGTAAGTCAGCTCATAGAAATGTATATAGTTGGCATTTGGAGTTTTTGTACATCGTCCAGGCCAGGCATGTTTAAAGAGCTTTGCCCCCAACCTAACACTTTGACCGTTTGCTACTAGCAGCTGTATATTCAAGGCAATTTCTTCTTAATATACCCGCATGGAAAGTGTTGGGCGAGCATTAAGAGACAAAATGAAAGTATAAACCCTTCGTAAACTCTTTAAACAGTTGTCACGCCTGAGGAAACGTGTGCAAGGACTCAGCGCCAGATTATACTAAGTTTTCGAAACGACATTCCCCAAATATCCCCCGTCCACACACACACACACACATACAAAAAAGACCTAGCCCCTCCTTGGATAAGTATTCAAACATAGATGATACTCGTTTTGCAGCTCAACAAGCTGAAGGAACGCGTTCAGGAGCTGACCTCAGAATTGAACCGCGAAAAGAAGGATAAGGAAGCCGTCAAGTCCCAAGCAGAGAGCTTGAACCGTGAATATGATCGCCTCACCGAGGAGTACAGCAAGTTGCAGAAACAAATAACCATTGGTGGCGGAGCTAAAGGTGCATCCATTAAGGATGACTAAGCTAGACGCTCTTGATGTCGAGCGCTAAATAAACATTTAAGGAATGATAAGACTTATAACATGGCGGTGGGGGCGAAGGCATCAACTGGAAGTACAGCAAGATTATAGAAGATTATAAATCGATAACATAACCAAAAACACAAACACACAAAAACAAACAAAACGAAATAAAAGCTTAGCTATTAATACACATGTTTCACTGTTATCAATTATCTTTCAAGTTCTCAAACTGTATTTATAATCTCTGTATTCATTAGTAAACTTAATACTTTGTTTGTCGCATCCAAAGGTTCATTGGATTTTTCAATAAATAATCTTATGAATACTCACAAAGCAAACTATTTGTGATTCATGTTCCATAGACCACGTATAAATAATGACATCATCTATGACGCACCTTGAACAAATTCGTTTAGCTACTCCCACCAGAAACTAACGGAGAAACTGGCTGTTTCGGAGCGCACATAATGCCACCACTTGGGAGGCAAATACAAGCAATCGCCAGGTTGTAGCAACAGCTTATAAAATCGTACTCCCTTCAGTAATGGAAATCGCTCAAAGTCCGGTTCGGCAGCATCAATTTGCGAAGTGTTGTTCAAGAACTCGCTTTCGTGTGGGTAGAGATTCTCGGTGTCTGCACAAGAAGCCAATATAATACTTTTACTACCGAACACTTGGCAGAGCAAGTTATGCTTGGGATCGTAGTGCATCGGTGAGATGGTGTGACGTGGTCCTAGCCAGGCTTTAATATCCACATCTGCTTCATTGCTCGCCGTACCAGTGCAGTAGTCCGGCACACAGATGTCCGCCTTCAGTGCTGGGATTTGCGCAAATAGCTCATGCTGCGCTAGATACTCAATCTCCTGATCTCCGTCACCCTGACCAAACTGCCTGTAGAGAAAGTCACGAAGCTTAACCAGCTGTTGGGACCACTCATCGCTGGCGTAATTGGAACCTATTTCAATTGGTACGGTGCGATTGCCAGCTACTTTTAGTAGATAATTCAAATCGCGCCATTTAGTCAACGCTGGCCAATGATTGATCGTGTTAAGCAGCAGCGTCGGCTGCAATTTCTCATAGCATTTCGTGCGGAATTCCGTGATACTAGGTGCATCCAGTTGGGGTACATCACAGTCAGCTATGCGTCGTTCGACTGGTGCTAAAATGGGCAGCGGGTCCCTAGTAAATTTTATAGCATCCTTGTCCAAGTACATCATCAGCGCCTCCTTCAATTCATTGGCTTTTCCATACAGCTTATCTGTGCAGCCCAACAGTTGAGCTTCGTCCAAAACAGAGCCACATAGTTCGATCTGCTCCAAGCTTGGGTCTTCCAATAGCAGAAAGAAAATCTACTTAAAGAAATAAATATTGAAAAGGTATATTGATTTGTAGTATAAGCTAAATCACCTTAAAGTAGCAAGCCAGTGCATAGATTTTCCTTACGGTCACCGGCACGCTACTAAAATGTCCGCTATGAATGCGTTCCCAGGTTTTGTCCACTAGTCCCCGTACCAAATATGAAATTTCCTCCTCTTCCCCATTTAAATGAGAGTTTTGAAAGTAATCTGCTGCTCGCTTCAGTATGTATCTCGCTTCAGCTTCATTTTGAAGCAGCTCTTCTATGTCCTCAAAGCGAGGAAGTAATTTAAAAATCTGCTCAATTGAATCGACCATTGCCTGATGAAAACGAATAAAGCCGGTATACCAAGCTTAAAATGGTTTCAAAACAGCTGATCGCTTAGTGCTGTACAATAAATACTGAACTTTTCAGTATTAAGATGGTATTTTTATAGCTAGTATTGGAATATTGTAAGTATGGTAGCACTGCGCGCTGTCTACAAATACTCGTTGAACGTGACATGGAACCGGCTAATAAGAAATCAAAAATGGTTAATAATAAATTCAAGCATGGCAAAAAGAAGTATTTCCAGCAAAGCAAGAAACAAGTGTTACAGCCAGGACAACGTGGGTTTCTTGTCACTTGCAACATGAACGAAAAGGCATGTGTGCGCGAATGCTACAATTTGCTTAACCATTATGCTGATGAATTGTACGGCCCGGAGATGCAACCAGATGAAAGCAAACAGGCGGCAAACACAGAAGCAGGAGGAGAGTCCGACAGCGACGATTTGGACGCAGCTGTAGCCAAATGCCGCGAGATGATTGCGCAAAGAAAACAACGCTTCCAAAACGTGGACACGGGCACTACGAATTGTTTATTTATACGCACTCAGCTGGACGATCCAGTGGCACTTGGCAAGCACATAGTCAATGACATTAAAGCTACGGGTAAAGCCATGTCTCGCTTTGTGCTGCGTCTGGTGCCTATCGAATCCGTCTGTCGCGCCAATATGCCAGATATTATCAATGCAGCTGGAGCACTCTTCGACAAGCACTTTCTCAAGGAGGCAACCACATATGGCATCATATTCAATCATCGCTACAATCAGCAAATCAAACGCGATACCATAATCAAGGAACTAGCCGACTTGGTCAACTCAAAGAACGTAGGCAACAAAGTTGATTTGCATAATGCCAAAAAGTCGATAATTGTCGAGGTGCTGAGAGGCTGGTGCCTGTTAAGCGTCGTGGACAACTATTTAGAATTTAAGAAATATAATTTAGCCGAGCTGGCAAATGTTAATGGGCAGAAGACAAATGACGTCGGCGATTCCAAGGCAACTGAAACTGCTGAGCAGGAGACGGAGAGTACTACGAAATCCATTGAGAATACTGTGGCCGCTGTTGAGAACTAATAAAATTTACTATTAATTTTGTTAAACTCTGTTTATGTATTCTAGTTACATAAACATTCACCCTTATCGGCTAACTTTGGAGTGTACATGTGTGCTTTCAGTATCCATATCCCATCGTGTCCACTTAGTTTACATTTAAAGTATTTGTAGTTAAATTACGCATAGACTAGAGGCTTCTTAGGCGGATCGTTTCAACAGCAGCTTAACTATTCCAGCTATCTTCTCATAGGCCATAAACATCAGCGCCGCTGTTAGCACCGTTTGCAGAATCTTCGCTTCCAGGCCACGGAAGAGACCGCCAATGCCTTGATGCTGCAGTATGCTGACCATAATCTCCAGCATCGATGGCGTCTTTTGCTGCTTGCCTGCCTGCTCGGATGTGGAGGGGGTATTGGTCGTATCATTCGTCCGATGACGTTGCTTAGTCTGCACCAACTGCAGTGGGTAGGTGAGCACGGTGGCAAATGCCTTTGCAATGGCGCCAATTACAAAAAAGCTCAGGCTGCCCATTTCGCCGCCCGTGAATATCATCAGGTTCCGTTTGAGCAGCTCGTACATCATGAACTGTAGCGCGGGATTGGAGACTAGCATGAGGGAGGGTATGGTGCCCGACCACAGGCCAGACAGTCCCTCCGTTTTGGCCACGTATTTGAGGCCTTGCAGCAGATTTGTATAGTGCTTATTCACCTCGTCGGAAGTGCCGGCCACGTTGCGCATGCGTAAACGCGTATTCACTACCCAGAACGGGGTCGTTGTGAACACATTTATGATGCCCGCAATGCTGCCCAGCAAGAGATCCTTC